TGCTAGTGGAGTGTTCCAGGCATTGATATTGGGGCGAACACTACTTAACCCCTTCATTACTGACCTGGATGATGGGACAGAGTGCACCCTTAGCAGGATCACAGCCAAAAGAGTAGTGAGTTTACAGCTGTGCTGCCATCAGAGGTGCAACCAATGATAAATGAACCCTTCAAGAAAAGGTGGTTCAGGAAACAATGTAGTGTAACAGTGTTATCACAAAGGAAGATGGACTTATTTCAGTACGAAGGGGACTGGAAGAGGGACTTTGCTTTAGATAAACTGCTCTATGGGTCAACTGTTTGTCTAAATGGTCTCCCCTAAGAAAATCGATAGAGATTATTATCTCCCTAACCCAGCCAGACTAGCATGGAGAAAGTATTTATGTGGCTCAGCACAGTACAAAAGCTGAGCAAATGCCAAATGAGCTCTGAAAAGAGCAATGAGCTCAAGCTGGGTTCAACCCATGCACTCCTTTACAGTAATTTAAGAAGCACAGTGATAGCTAGCATATAGATACCAGTAATCACATTTCTATGATGATTCAATATCCTCTGTAGACTGCAACTGCCATATTGTGATTCTATTATGATTTTAGTATACTGCTAAATTAAAATTCATGTAACAGCAGATATCTTCTATTAAACTTTCAATCTTTCCCCATTGGTACATCCAGAAGAACCTTACCAGGGAATACTGGCATCTGGCAGGACGGACCTTGACAGGCTGGAAGGAATTTCATGACATTTCAGCAAAGTCCTGCATAGGAGGAAGAACAACCTCAGGCACCAATACACTCTATGGAACCACTTAATACCAAATTATGAGATAGAGTCACTCCCTCCTGAAATCCTGCAAGATTCCTTCCAGTGACACAGTGAACCCACCTCTCCCAGTGAAGGAAAACAACTACTGGCACAACCTTGGTTTTAGTTGCTGATAAATTAAGACATGAATTGTTTCATCTGTTCCACCTCATCCTTTCTGTCTCCTGATGATGCAGAAATTTAGCTCCTTCTAAACTCTGCAGAATCACCTTACTTATCCACGTAAAACATGCAGGTTTGATATGCAGATTCTCAGATACAGGCAATCGTAAACCCACTCTATGCATTTAACTACACTGGAAATGAGTAAATTCAGAAAAAATATTCCTCTGATTTAGCAATCTTTAAAAGGGCTAATAACATTTTAAAAAATTTGCACTTGATACATCACTTAAGAACCTGGAACAATAAAACTCAATCAACTGATGCCTGTCACCTAATCTTGTGCATTTTTTTTCCTTTTTTTCAATGCAAACAGAATAGGAAATACATGAAACCTTTTAGAAAAATATCCTACAGAACTATAAGTCACCTCTTACAAGTCAAAGACCCACAGGAAAATACAGTTTCAGTTACATAAGAAGTTTATTTATTTATTGATTACAAATCAATACTTTCAGGGATTGAAAAACTGCAATAAACTTAGAGCAGTGAAAATAAATGCCTTTAAAGTTTATTTCTAAGAACATAAAAGAAATCAAAGACTATGAAGCTATTTTCTTGCAACAGGCACTGCTAATGCATGCTAATTAATATTTATAATTCACGTTTGCACCTAAATACCATAGCAGTGTGCTATAAAGCAACTGCATATATTTGTGTTGAAAAAAGCCCACATTGCTTCTTCAGACTCAATCTTTGTATGATTTAACAGAATTATTAACAAATATGTGACATTTATGTAAGAATGCTACATTTTTCCTCAAAGTATGAAGCAGCACTCTGTCATCTTATGTCATTACCAATTTACCAATGCTATCAAGAGCCCTCAGACAGTACCCAGATTCAGCAGAATATCTGTAATATTTTAGATATAGGCAAAGGAAACATTTGTATTAAAGGATTAAAGTTATTCCTTCTCTTCCCCTCCCCTTGAAATACAAATACAGTACAGCAGCATATATCATAGAGACCCTGAGAACACACCAATTTTTATTATCCTAACTTTACAACATAACTCAGTCCTGCAAACAAAGAGGACTGTTTCCAGTGGGGATCTGTGATGGCATACAGGAGACCTAGGAATCCCCAGAGATCATAAATTGTATTCAGTTTAAAATCTTAATTTCTCCTGAAAACATTTCCCAGAAGTTCTCCTACTACAATAAAATTCTGCATATGCACAATCAAGATCTGTGGCAAGAAATCATTAAGGTTCTTGTTTAAGGCTCTTGTACTACCAAAAGGTTCTTTCCTTAACTGCACACAATGTATCTAGAAAACAGTGAAATCTGACCCACAGAAGGACACTGTTTCAAAATCAAATTGTTGTCCTACATTACTTCAGTTGTGGGGCCTGCCTCATTTTGGTTTTCAAGTTTAGAGCAACTAGGAAACTATATTCAGCATATTCTCCTATTTAAATGTTTGGGTGTGGGGCTTTAACTTCTGAAAGCAAATATTCAGCTATGAAAGCCTTAAGAAGTTATCAATTCAAAGTTTATCACCACCGACCTTTTGGTTTTGGCAGACAGAGTATGTATTAAATTGTATCCTCAAGAATAAAACAGCATAAAGTCAACTGCATATACTTCACTTGCATCAGCTGTTTGCCATCTCAAACACCAACTACAAGCTGGGTAATTTCACACCTTTTTTTTTTTGAACTGGCACTTACACACAAATACCTTCAAAATGTAAAATCTCATTATCTTATTTCACTCAAATTCTCCACCATAAGCTATTTCAAATAGTTGTATTTTCTCCACAACCATCACAGGCAATAGAAGGTCTCAAATACTTAATAGTTAGAAACATTCTGTTCCTTCAGGACACTGAAGTCACTCATATTATCCAAAATGAAAACTTATCTACTATACACCCACATTTCTATTGACATTTTGACTGCCAGAGTACTTGGTTAAAAAATTGTCAATCAGGTGTCTTGCCATATTTTTAAAAAAGTCAGAACCTGAAGTCGGTCCCCATGAGGAACCACCATAAAGAGAAGCCATTCTTCCATGCTTTTGCATTGAATTCAGATCATCATGACAACTAAGTCACAGTCATTAAGGTGCTAACAGTAAAAATCTATAGTTCAGGAAACGAGTGAGTCAGATAAACATACCTGGCCCCAGCCAACAGGATAACCTTTCTTCCCATGATGTACCCTAAGTCATAGCCTTACTCTACTCAGCAATTCTGCACTTCTACTCCAAGTCATGCCCCAGAATGTCATGCTTATTGAAAAGCATAATTTAGTTATATTCCTGAGGAAGAGAATAGAGAAGATACACTGCAAAAATACACTGTGTGCACAAATTACTCGTGGGTAGTCATCTCCACCAAAACTTCAATTAAAAAATGCCACTTCCTTTTTTTCTTAAAAAGTAAGCAACTCTGTTGTCTTTTCATCCTCCTTAGTTTTTCTGCCCCTACCTTTCCTTCAGTGTCTGTGCTCGTTGTACCCATGCTCTTCACAGCAGGTGTAATTCATTCACAACTCTTCAGAAAGCCAACTACTACATGGTATTGAGGAGCTGAGTAAATACTTTTCATCAGATTTACCACAAAAGTCTATTCTAGAAACCATTTCTGAAGGTGACTGATCAGAGAATCTGTCCAAAATTGAAGGAACTAGGGTAGAGGTCATGAAACACAATGACAAAAAAACCTCAACAGTAATGAACAGTAATGCCAATTTCAAAATTGGCATTTTGAAAGAGCTCAAGGTTAAACACCTCCATAAGGAATGACAGTGGGTTAACTCTCATTCGGTGGTTTCTTGACGTGTCAGGACTAGAAATGGAAAGCAGAAAACAACTAAAAATAAAAATCGTCAACAAATAAAACTGTTTGTGTGAACAGAAGCTACAATTAAAAATATGGTTAGTGGACCCTTACGAAAAGTAGAAGAAGAATTGGCATGGCTTTTGCAAAAGGAAATCCTACTTTTCAAAACTATTTAAGATCTCTGAAAGAGTCAATAAATACAGTGGTGAGGGTGCTGTAGTTCTCAAAATCAACTTTGGCTTTCCAAAATACTTCCCAAAGTCCTTTACCAAAAGGTTACAAGGAAGCTAAGCAGCCATAGCATGAGGAACAGCCCTATAGCAGAACATTAGCCAAGATATAAATCTGGCTGGCTCATTCATATCTTATATACTATGTGGAGAAGAAGAAGGTAGAAATCATAACAAAAATAAATCTAAAGGTAATTCCCCCTGCTCTGGGGTTTGTAGGCCTGGGGTGTCTTCCTGCCAGCCTGATGCTGCTGACACAAAAACTTTACATGGGTTCAAGGGGGATTGGAGAAATTCACACCAAAAAAAACCAAAAAAACCCTATGTCTACTGCGGCATACAAATACACACAGCACCACATCCAGTTCAAGAAGTTATTTGAGCTACAAATCACTGGAGAAAAAAAAAAGGGCAGCAAAAAGCAAGTGTCCTGCATCTGTTCTTTGGGCTTCAACTACTGCCTATGACTACTTTTATCAACAGTGAACACTTAAAAATATTATGACTTGCATGGTACATATTTTTTTTATGACAACTTATATGCAGGAATCTTACCAAAAATAAGCTTCTGAACTCTGACACTTTGGCAAAATTACATGCCTTTCTACTTGTTTCACCAATTAACAGAAACAGAAGAAATCAGTGTAGGTGCTGGGAATCTTTTCCTTTGGCTGTTATGCACAGTGAAGGAACATCTGACATCCTGCCACTCACTCTAATAAAAGGACATATGTACAAAGACATAAAATCAGGTTATGAGATATTTCCATAACACCAGAAGTGACTGCCTGCTTTAGAGAGATACCCGAATTCACAACAAGTTATATTAACCCCTCCATGCCCCGGTGCTTGAACCGATTTCAAAATTAGCTGTAAAGTTGTTAGATAAGGGTAGTTTCTCGTTTTCTTTTCACAAAGCACCAAGGACTGCCCAGCCCTGCTGAAGTCTCTGCGTGGCACTGGGGCGACGCACCTTTCCCCTCCCACCTCAGTTTTTGCTCTTCAGGTGTGTTCGTACAGAGAAAAGGTGTAGCACTCCCTGCCGAGCCTCTATACATTCCTTGCCACACTCCGTCATTCCCCCTCCATAACAAAGTTACTTCATGTCACGATTTTGTTACACACGAGGTGCGCACATGCTCTCAGGATACGACGCCCAGTGCGCAGAAACTGATGCACAGGAAGTTCCACCTGAACATGAGAAAGAACTTCTTTGCTCTCCACTGGAACAGACTGCCCAGAGAAGCTGTGGAGTCTCCCTCACTGGGGATGTCCAAGGGCCATCTGGACACAATCCCGTGCCACGTGCTCTGGGATGACCCTGCCGGAGCGGGGAGGTGGGACCACATGCCCTCCGTGGTGCCCCCCAGCCCGGCCCATCCGTGACTGTGCGATGCCACACGCGCTGCTGGGCGGGCGGGCCCCGCCGCTGACACCGCCCGCTTCGGTGGCGGGATGTCCCCGGGGGCGGCTCCGGCCCCGCCGCGTACACCCGACCGCGCCGCGCCGTGGCCTCGGCGCGGCCCGCGGCCCGCCGTACCCGTGCAGCGCGCCGCACTCGGCCGCCTTCTCGCAGCGCTTTCCACCGGCAGCTCCCAAGCCCTCGCAGCCCCTCCGCCCTCTCTCCTCCTCTCTGCTTCCCGTGGGCCGGGGCGGGCCGGTCCCCCCCCCGCCGCTCCCCTGCCATTGGCCGTCCTCCGCGCCGCGCGGCCGCCGCCCTGCTAGGGGCTTTCCAGGAGGGCGCCAGAGGAAGGGGGGCGCGCAGCCTCCCGCGCTTCACCTGTGTTTGGGAGGCGGCACTCTGCCTCATTCTCCGGGGGCTGCCCAATGGGGACGCGCGGAGCTCCGTCCAATGGGGAGGCTCCGAGGGGAGCCTCGCCATGCCCGGAGCGGCCGGCAGGGGGCGCTGTGGGCGCGCGGCGCTCCCGGAGGGTGGCGATCGTTCCCGGAGAGTGGCGATCCTTCCCGGAGGGTGGCGATCCTTCCCGGAGGGTGCTCCGATCGTTCCCCCCGGAGAGTGGCGATCCTTCCCGAATGGGTGCGATCCTTCCCGGAGAGTGGAGATCTCCTTCCCGAGGTGGCGATCCTTTCCCGGAAGTGGCGATCCTTCCCGGGAGTGGTGGCGTATCGTTCCCTGGAGGGTGGCGATCTTCCCGAGAGTGCGATTCCTTCCGGAGGGTGGCGATCCTTCCCGGAGAGTGGCGATCCTTCCCGGAGGGTGGCGATCCTTCCCGGAGGGTGGCGATCCTTCCCGGAGAGTGGCGATCCTTCCCGGAGAGTGGCGATCCTTCCCGGAAACCGCCGGGAACGAGGAAGGGGGGTCTGGGATCACCACTGTCCTCACCTGCACGGGTATCGCTGCCGAGAGAGAGCGAGATATCAGCCAAGGGCTGGAGCCCCCAGCGCCCCACCAAGCGCGGATAACCAGCTTCTGGTGCTGGTGCCCCTGGAGGTGGAGATTGAAATTCTAGTAGCGTTTTTTTATTAAAAAAAACACGAACTTCTGTTCGTTAAGTGCTTATCTGACCGTTTTAATTGGTATTTTGTTCCAAGTGGTGCAGAGTAGGGGTTTGAGAGTTCCCATGCCCGTGGATCCCTTTTACCCTCCCTTGGGCTCTAGGACAGTCCCTGCAATACATGCATAAATGTAAGTTTATACTGTGATAATTAAGGTAGATCTGTTAATAAGGTGCAGGTATTGGAGTCTGTTATACAGTACAATAAAATTCAACTTCAAAGTCATTGCCGTTTACATTAGAAATCTACTGAAATACAGTAACCAGTAAATCTCCACAGGACAGATTCTCTCCTGAAATTAATAACTGCAGATGATGGCCAGTTGTGTTGTTTCCTGTGTTCTGTTCTGCATCCAAAATAAACTCTATTGCATTTATGTACTTACAATCTTCAGAGCCATTTGATGCAATTCAGGCCTCCTGGTATGAGACATATGCACAATATGTGATTTTGCTTTTAGGTTGTGTGTTTTTGTACCATAGTTTTGTATTTGTAGCTCAAGCTACAAATAAATGCATTTTCTTGTATAGACATTGGAATGCATTTTACTCACCAGGTAAAAAAAAAAAGTAAAAATCAGAGACCAGTGATTCTGAAGCTAGCTGTATATTTACATACTGTAAGTTTAAAAATAAATACATAAGGAGGTAAGGAAAAGGAAAGTTACTGCTAGAATTATAGGCCACCTAATTTAGGACAGGGGGACTAGTGTAGGAGTGGGAGAGCTGAAACTTTCATAGTAAGCTGAAAGCCTTATCACAAGGTGAATTGTTATAACTTACAAGGAGTTTATTTAGGCTGATTATTAGAAATAACACAGCTGTAGTGGATATGAGAAGGAGTATTGATGTCTTAGTGCAGAGTCACTTTTCTACTTCCAGTTTACTAAGAGTCCCCATGGTACTGACAGTAGCCTGGAAATGCCTTCATAGCTTTCTAAAAGTGTCTTCAAAGACTGACTTTTTATCTGGTCTGATAAGAATAATCAGCTTCAGTCATCAGTTCAGAAGAAAGTAAACCACTGTAAACAGTTCTGATCTGACCACACAGAAGAGAAAATTGATCTGCTGATAGGTGCCTAAAATACATGTAACAATAACACTGCCTGAAGTAATTTTATTGTCAAGGGAATGGGTAAATGTCAAGGGAATACATAGAGGCTCAGTAGAGAGAGTGCTTTTCTCTATGTGCATACATCTGAAGTGCAAAATGAATCAGCTTAACCTGAAGGAAATTAGAAGCATGAGATCAGGTTAGGATAGACTGACCATGCCTAAAAGCTGGGCTTGAGGGTAGAGGGTTCCTGTTACTTGAATATTGCTGTTTTGGACTACAAACAATAGCAGAAAGGATTAAAAACCAGCTCAACTTTAGATTTTTTTTTCTCTTTATGAACAGAAGTAGTGTTTGCTATGTGTCCGGTTCCAAAGCTTAACAGACCAGCAGCTTCTCACACTATAGGCCAACAAACTATAGATCTGGCACTAAATACTCATTTTAAAAAATTGGAAGCATTATTTTTAGGCCAGAAGTCTTGTTTAAACAACTGAAGGAGTTTAAGAGGAGAAATGCCTGAATATTGAAATTTGAGGCAAAAAGTAAAATAAATTTTATGGCAGATCTTCATAATCTTTTGCAGGCTAAGAGATATTTATGTCCACACTATCTTTTTAATGCATGATTACCTTGAGTATTTGATGTGCATAGTTGAATCAAAATTAACACCTCCACCATTATATTAGAAAACTGAGGAATTCACAGCATCTCTTTGGACCAGTGTTTGCAATTTGTAAATTTACAGATCTAAATGATGGGCTGTCTGGGAGCTTCTTACTTGCATTTAATACATTTGATGTACTGAACTGTTTGTTCCCTTTTTCAGATCATGAATGGTCACATGTTTAGTGACTAGCTGCAGACTCACTGTGGTATGGAAAGTCCATTAAATTTTATGGAAAGTACCATTCCTCTGTACATCCAACCTCTTCTGTGTCCCTACATAGACTATTTCTCTTTTATTCTAGGATTTAATATTTATTTTATTCTAGGATTAGCCCTTACTGAGTAAGTACAAGTTAGAATTCTTGCTGTTACAAGTCACCAAAAAAGCCACCCCACCCCTGCCAAGAAATTTATTATACAAATTTATTATACAAATTTATTATACATTTATTTTAAGAGATGGGAAGAAGCTGCCAGGATGGCAGTTCTCAAAGAAGCATATTCAAATGGCAGTTTCTCAGCAGCTTTAGCCAGTTTAATTCCAAGTGCCATGTTTCAACTGCCTGGATTGACCCACAGTTTCAAATACTGACATAAGTAATTTGAAATCCTGAGGAATAAATTTTTTCTTTTTTTTTTCTTTACTTTTTTTTTTTTTTTGCGAAAGCTGTGCCCTCGTAGAGAATTGCAGCTTTCATTGCAGCTCACAAATGTTGAATTTGGGCCGTTTGTGGTTCCCGTCCATACCCATACTTGTCCATACATTCCGGTGATGTATCCAGAAGCCATCAGTTAAGCTGGAGGGACTGTCTGACCGGGCTTACTGCACAGTCACTGGTGTCAGCATGAGGTGTAGTCTGTGTAAGGGGGCTTGGAGCTGGGAACTTGGAAGACATAATGAGCTAAGCTGCTGTCTCAGAGCACCACAGGTGAGCCTGGAGAACTGACTAGGACTGAGAACTGTGAGTCAGGTGGAACGAGGCTGGAGACAGGTGAGCTTGGAAATGCTCATACAAAGGCTGTAATGAGGAAGAAGGATGTTTTTGTTGTGTGATTCTGCCTCATTGCCTCACAACAGAAGACAGTCAGACATCTTGCTATTTGTACAGCAGAGTGGGATTAACAAAGCCCCTTCTTAGCTGTCAGTGTGTGTGTGAACAGAAGGCCATGTGCAGATATGAAGCCATATATTAAATAAGGGGGGTTGAGAGTAACGTTGGTAAACACCACTACGGCTGGGAGTAGAGCTCTGTGCAGGTGAAGTCTGGAGGTGCCTGATCGCAAAACCAGGAACTGTTGAATTTTGGAGAAGAACTTGCTTTCTGTTTGACCCAAGCATGCACTGACCTGATTTGTCATAACACTTGTCTCCCAAGACAGTCCTTTTTGAGGGAAAAAGAATGGTTTAGTGAGACACAGTAGCTGGCCAGAATAATTAACTCCAACCTTCCAGTAAGGACTTGCTGGAGGTGCTGTATTTTTCCACACGCTCAGAGATGCTGTGAGTTCTAAGGGCAAAAACTGTCTGTGACTGTCTCTATTCTAGAAGGTGCTCTAACTGATTTACAACAAAAAACATGGCTGTAAAACATTTAGCCATCCAGTACTGAAATCGACTGCATTGTAAGAGTCATGTAATAATGATGCACATTGCATAATGTTGTTTCCTATAATCTGTTGAACCCATGGGTTTCAGACTTTACCAATTCTATTTAAAGTCTTTGGATTCATCTGTCACTCATGATAACTCATTGCTTTGTAAATACTGATAGCAAGTGTCTTGAAAAACGCAGAGTTCATTTCAGATACTTTAGTCACTACTGGGGTGTTGGAAATGTCCTTTACATGAACTAAAGAAACAGCAGCAGCAAC